AATAGAAAATGAGGATTGGAAGAGACCTCAGGAGGTCATTTAGTCCAACCCCCTGCTCGAAGCAGGACCGTCTCCAATTGTATCATCCCAGCCAAGGCTTTGTCTAGCCAGGTCTTAAAAAATGACCCAAATAGTGGCATTGTTAAATTGAATATGCTACTTTGAACTGTTACTTCATACTTAGCTGTTGGAGTCAGGAACAAAGCCAAGGTATCCTGCATTTCAGAGAGCTTGGGGCCAGAAAAGACCATTAAATCATGTAGTCTGACATCCATAATATCACAGAACATTACACTTAACCTATTTACCCCTGTATCAAGTCTAGTAACTCATCTTTGATTGAAGCATGCTTTTTGCTAACAAGTGTTTTCCAAAAAGGCATCCGGTTTTGATCTGAAAGTATTGAGACTTCAAGTGATGTTGAAGCCACCACTTCCTTTAGTACCTTTTCAGTGGTTAATTGTCAATTTTTTAAAATTGTGCTGTATTTTTTTTAATTCAGATTTCATCTGGCTTCAATTCCAGCCATGTTCTTAAATATTCCTCTTGTAGAAATATCCAGCACTATAGTGATAGTAGTTGTGAATGTGTGTTATGTCTCACTGCATGTTTATACACCTTGATCCTGATGGATGCTGATATCATGACTCACTCACCAGTTACCTAGCACAGGTCTTTACTGTTTCAGCAGTGCAGCGGGCTCAGTTCTGGCTAATGATCCACAATGGGAGGAAATACATATGTGTAAAATAGCGTGCCCAGGAATAACTATTTCAATAATTGTATATTGGTGAATTGGGATTTTGTGTCACAAGATCTTTATAGCATTTGTGTTTTGATTATTGGGCGCTCTAAGAATGGGGATGGGGAGGCGGCTTCTTGAAAGGGCTGGATGTCTCCAAGCATTGCTATTGTGCTTCTGAGCCTTTTGTTTGTAGGGCACAAATATGAAAACCAGCAAACTCCAGAAGGGAACAAAAAATTGTTCCTGATAAACTGTACTCCATGGCCGTGTCCACACGTAGTGCGGATGTTTGGTTCCCTGGGAACAACTAGCAGTAGCACACCTTACGCCGCCGCTGCTTGTCCCGGGGGTATGCCCGTGCCACGTCCGCTCTGGCATGTGACAAGTTACCCTGGGTGGGGTAGGGGAGGCTGGAGCCAGCACTGGGCTGGCCCTAGCAGCCTTACCTGGGGTCTTGGGGGCTTCCTGGGGCTGCATCAGCGGTGATTCTGCCACACACAGCATGGCTTTGGGTGGCCTGGCTCCGCTTTCAAGTGGCATGTGCCTCTCTGAATTTTTTTCTTCATGGGGTTTTTTGTCTCCTGGGTGTCAAAAAACCCGTCTGTGCTGTTCCTTTTCAACATGGAGAACAACTGAATGTGTGGTATGTGGAGGTGTCTGCACTGCCACATACCTCATGGCTGTGCTCATCTGGACATGGCCCATGTGTGCAAATCAGTACACTTAACGGGTTAGGAGCTGCATGGACCGTGGTAACTGAACTACCTCTATTTCCTCCAGAGAAAACCCCCTCCTACACCTGGACCTGTTCGTGGGGCAGCCTGCTTGAACTGTACGTGAATAGGGGACATCATTTACCAGGCTGTTGTGATGTCTTTCACTAATAAAAGAAGTCCTCACTTTGAAGCTAGAGTTATGAGCAGGGATCCTGGTTTTCTCTGTTAAAAAATCCAAAGTTCTGTAATTTAAAAAAAAAATCTCTGATTAACCACCCCCCCCTCCCCCAAATCCGTGTTTTTTTTTTTTTCCATGATTAAAATGAAACACTGATATATATTGGAGATTTGGACAAACACCTGGCTGGGGTCATCTGACCCCACCACTCTTTCCTGCCCAGGGCAGGGGGTTGGACTCAATGATCTAATAGGTCCCTTCCAACCCTGACAACTATAAAACTATATTTAGGTATCAGTTGAACACCATTTCCAAGCAATTTGGAAGCCTACCAGTTCCTCAAGCATTAAGATAAAAGAAATTCTTTTAAAAGAATTAAGGGGTTGATTTGGGAGGTTTTATCACGTGGCTGTTCCCCACGCTGCTTTGTGATGTTGAGCAGTCCTGCCATGCTGGTGCCCCTCACTCCCAAGCCACAGCCTCCCTTCTTCCAGGGCTGGCTTGGAGATTGGGAGCTCGCTGGGGCAAGGAAAGGGGACACTGCCTTCACCTTGCAGCATAGGCGACTGGTGACTGTTGATTTGGTGGGGCAATTTATAGGTTCTGGCGGTATACTGCAGGGTTCAGGGCAGGTACTCAACAGACAGGAGTTTTGATTTCTGTTCTAGAGCTACTTTTAATGTCATGTTTTAATCAACGAGGATTAAACGGTGACAAGTGTACTGAACAGAAATAGCCATCCGTCCCACGTCACACTAGGGTCATGCAAGAGGCATTGTTTAGATGTGGAACAATGGTGAGAGAGGGCCATAAAAAAGTGCATAATCAAGTGAAATTAAGAAGATGAAAGAGTGCCTGGAACAGCTTCTAAACAGTGGAGTGCTGGAGCCTGTTTCAAAGCCCATTAAAGGCAGAGTGAGAGTCCTTCAATTTTAAATTTTCAGAAGGATGCAAAGCTAGTCATAAATTTAAAGACTTTTTTTGGCGCATATGGCAGCTCATGTGAAAATAGAATAGGAATGGCATGCTGGGCATAGGCCAAAACTAATGGCCTTTTGCTTAGTAAAACGTGCTCATGGTTATTAGGTACCAGGGGTATAGGAACCCTGGATGTTACAGAGTAGATCATCAAGGATTATCCCTGTGTGGAATTTGACCATTAAAATGTGTATGTCGTCTTTGTGTGCAACAAATTGTGAAGGTTGCATATTTTTAAAGAGAGAGATATATTATCTACCTTTAAAAAAATATGCAACCTTCAAAATTATATAGCTAGAGATGAGGGTCAGAACTTGGTTTGCTTAAAAAAAACTTTTTACAAGATCAACATCAGACTTTCTAAAACATTAATCTGTGAATGAGACCACGTATGTACAGAAATGACTTTCTGAAAGGTACAAGCTGGGTGAGAGGGGTTGGGGGTGTTTAGAAGTAGGTTTATGTTGAAAGTACCTTAGTAATAACATTACCTACAGCTGGGACTTTCAAAGGGGGCTGACAGAATTAAGCACTTGGACCCTTTCGATTTGGGCTGCAGTTGCATAACGCTTTTAGGCAGATTACAGTCAATATAAACAACTTTAGATGACCAAAAATGTATGTTAGCCTTCTAGAAATCATGAGCTGAGCTTGAAAGTAGTGCCATTTTTAAACCTCTTTCATGTTTTTTGTTTTTGAGCCTCTTGGGCTTGTGCTTTTAAGATTTCTCAACTGAGAGAGAGGGTTTTTTGGGGGGAGGTGGGGAGTTCCTCCCAATTCTTCAGTTGAAAGTGGTTGTATTGTACTATCATCTAATCAATTGATTTGCAGTAGCTGGGAATTTAAGAATAAGACTCCTAAAATTGCCAAGATTTGCAATGAAATTTTGAGAACTGGCAACATAATTATGCCCACTTTTACTATTCTGGAGAAAACCTGGAATTTATTTGAAACTTACTTATAACCTATACATTTGTGATGCAGTGGCGAGAGAGCAGATCCTTTGGGTCTCGCTAGCATGAGTAATCTTCTTGGTATGGGACTTACAATTTGTGCAGGTAGCAGTTACAGTACTGATTATTTTTTCTGAGATTTGTCGTAAGTATTTATATTACTTAAAGCCCTTAATAGAATGTTAAATAAAAATGAAACGAGGGTGTGGAAAGATCAGTGTTCCAAAGTTTGGCTAATGATAGAAAATAGGATTAAGAAATCTGAAAGGCTTTTTGTTAAAAGCAGTCAAGTGATCATTTCTTTGAAATAAATAGAAATTGGAGCCTGAAGAAAAAGAGGGACATGCTCTACTATTTTAACATGTTATCCACCTTGGACATTGCAGACTATCTCTGTGCACAATTACCTTATTTTTCAGAAGATTGCGGTACTAGGCGCTCACTAAGTATTGAAATAGGAGAATGTTCCTCTTAAAATTTGCATTAAACGAGATATAGTTTGCTGCTTACAGTTAAAATATTCATTTATTAATACTTACTGCAGATGACTGTATTTATATTCAGAGTTCTTTATCAGTTGGCAGCAGCCGTCCCAGGGCCCACATGTAGCTGTTCTGTATGATCTCCATTTTTGCAGACAGAGAAATCAAGATGCATGGAGTTAATTAAGTACCTTGAACATCAAGTCTGTATCAGAGTTGAAGAAAATCTCATATTGGGTTTCACCCTGGCAGGGGCTGAATTTCTTCAACTTCTTTCAAGATTATTTCATTAAACCTGTCCTCCAGAGGTGAAATTCACTGTTGTGCAGAAAACCTGCCTAAGGCCAATGCATCACTAATCCACTTAGTCTCCTGCAAGTTACAGCATTCACTGTATTTGATCTTTTAGAGTTGGTATTATAATTCAGTTCTGAAAACTGTCTATTTCTCCCTTTCAGGTTCTGGGACTTTGTTGGCTTTAGTACTACAGCCAATGTCAATTCAATATGTGGAGCTCTGAAGACTTCTTACCTGCTCACAGTGGGAAAGAGATATCATCCATGTAAATCAAGAACTACTTGGCTGTTTCCTAGGCAACTGTGGAATAATTAAAATGAAGAAGGGCTGATGTGCCAGGCATAAGGGATTTTTATCAGATGAAAATGAAATGCTCTCTTCTGTCTTGAAGAACCAGATGTGTATCTGCCAGCAAACGTAAGGTACAACATTTAAAAAGAATATCAGTTTATTGTTTTGGAGATCCTTAAGGAAATGAATAAAAATGACAGTTTAACCAGATTTTATTCTAATGAGAAATGATAATTGTGTATCCTTTTGCTTCTATCAGAAGCGATGCCCTAGTTTATTGTGGAATCAATTTTCTTTCCAAACTTTAGCAAGGGCATTTAAACTTGCTTTATGGTTTGGGGCTTGATCCTACTCCATTTGAAGCACAGCTGACTTCCATGCCGTTTTTTCTTCTGTAGGGAGAGATTGAGGCCCATGTTCAGAAAAGGACTCAAATAGACACTTGATTTTCACAGAATTGTAGAAAATGAGGGTTGGAAGTGACCTCATGGGGTCACATCTAGTCCAGCCCCCTGCTCAAAGCCGGACCATTCCCAACTATATTATCTCACCCAAGAATTTGTCTACCTAGGTTTTGAAAACCTCTAAGGATAGAGTGTCTGCTTAGAACTAAGACCCCAATTTGGAAAAACCCGTGTAGAAGATGAATGGATAAGTATCTGTTTTGGCTTTTTAAAAAAAAGAAAAAGGAAACCTTTTTTTGCCACATTGCCACAATTTTTCACGTTTTCACTTCCCTTTTACATGTAGAAAGCATGAAGGTAGGGTATTTAAAATTAAAACAATCAAGAAAAAGATAAGGGAAAATTCATGTAGGTGAATAAGTCACACAAATAACATATTTGCATGAACTAGTTCGCCCATTTTGTAGTCTTTTTTTCCCCAAATTTGATTTCAAATTAACAAGGCCTGAAAATGGCACCCACTACAGAGAGCTAAATTACAATCCCCAGATTCCTGCCTAACTGCTGTTTTCCCCCATTGCTCTGGTTGCAAGAGTGGCTTTAGTTTCTGGGCTGTCTAGGAGGCCAGTGGCTTGCCCTGATGTGGCCCGTAGGGCATTTGGCTCCTTGCTGCTTAGAAGTTGGACAGCCCTGGATTAATTTATCCTAGAAGAATCAGCATGTAATCATTAAGTTGACGTAGACTCTTGGAGTCGTTTAGAAGTCTTGTTTAAAAAAGGTAGTGGCTAAAATATCTTTCAGCCCCAAACTCAAAATCTGCATGTAGGGTAGAAGGTAATGAAAAGGACCCAGGTAAAAAAAGAGAAGCCTTATTATAACAGTTATGAAAGGTTGTGGAAAGCATTCATGATCTAAATGGTTGGAAAAGTTCTTTCTAAATATCTAATGTAATATATTACGGAATATTGCTTATCTCTTCCACTTGCTAAAACATTTGGAAAGGAAAAACATTATCCATCCGACTATATAGTTAAACACTGAAAGCCACATTCACGTTTTTCTCATAGTCTGAATAATTATATGTTAAAATCCGCCTATCTAGCCTAATGCTTTAGTATGTTAGTTTATTTCAGGCATCAATCAATTTTAGAAATAGTTTGAACACCATCTGGACTTTACATAATAAAAATTTGCTGCCAAAAAGTTTGTGGGTTTCTTCTGGGATGTGTATGGGATTTCACATTCCATCCCTTAGGCTTTTTTAAAGAAATCATAATTGTTTGTAGATATAATGTATCCAAAAAGTATGAAATGTTTTTGGCAACTTGGTAATATAAGAACCCCACTAATCTGCCACCGCTACCTTTTTTTTTCAAAACACTTTACAGAATCTGAGGTGCTGAGTCCTTAACATCACTGAGTAGATTTGGAAAGTCCACATACAACTGTGGTGTTATATTTCCAGTTTTAGTTATTCCACAAGTATTCTTTACTTGACAGATTGACTGCCCTTTTTTGGGAGGTATAAGGCCTCAAAATGTTCAGTTACTCTTAGCCCAAAGTCAAAGATAAAATTGCATGAGAAAAATGGCATTTTTACACGATGGAAAGAGCTTTGCAGACAGTGTATGATATGTACGCTGCCAATGGATACCAGGTTGGAGAAGCCAGTAGTGAACAAATTTGACTGTTGATGGAACAGGGACCCTAAAATAACTTTAATATCCAAGGAACATTAATAGGACGCAAAGTTTAGATTATGATAATATTTAAAAAAAAAAATCTGTGTGAAATTATTACTGTAACAGAAGCTTGTTTCTGGCCTTGTGATCATTATTAACTACAGCAGAATTACTTGGGATTTGCAGCAGTGTACATGAGACAAAATCCCTCATATATAATTTGGGCCAAAATGTTCAGAGCAGCCCCAAATTTTTGGCTGCGTCAGGTTTGGGTGCCTACCTTTGACATGTCTTAAACCGGACTTTTTGGAGGTCCTGTTGTGTAGTGGGAGATATATAAAAGCAGTATATAACTAGCTTTTTCTTCCCCATCTCGCTCTGCCTTGCTCAGATCCTGTGCTGAGTGGGGGATTAGTTTGACCACAAGGCTGTTCCTATTACTCACACTCGTCATCCTCCCAACCCACCCAGTTAACCATGCTACTTTTTCCAAGACTCAGTACTGGAGTTCATATTTCAGCACTGAGGACAATGGAGATCTGCATGTGGCTCAGGGACAGAAAAATAGAAGTATTTTTACTAAATTTGGACAGCTGGACAGTGTATAAGAAAACAGTGGTCATACTTAGCTTACTGTATGCTGCGCTTCTCATTTATAGCTCAGTGTACCTTATGCCATAAGATAATTTGCAGGTCTGTGTGGGTGGGAAAAGCATGTACTTGAGAGAGGAATTATTACATTGTTTGCACTTTTAACAGATCCAGTCTATGGCAGTTGTACAAAAACTTTAAATCTACCATGGGTTATTAGCAATTAATGAAACCTGTTTCCATAAAATG